AATACTCTATTGGAGGGGCGCCTGGGTGGCTCAGTCGTTAAGTGTCTGCCTTCAGCTCAGGTCATGGTCCCAGGGTCCTGGGATCGAGCCCCGCATCTGGCTCCCTGCTCAGGGGGAAGCCTGCTTCCCCTTCTCCCACTCCCCCACTTGTGTTCCTGCTCTCACTAACTCTCTCTCTCTCTGTCAAATAAATAAATAAAATCTTTGAAAAAATAATACTCTATTGGATATTTGAAAATTGCTAAGAGAGTAGATCTTAAAAGTTCTCATCAAAAGTAAAAAATTGTAACTGTGAAGTGATGAATGCTAAGTAGTCTTATTGTGGTGATCATTTTGCAATATATACAGATGTTGAGTCATTATGTTGTACACCTGAAACTAATATTATATGTCAATTATATCTCAGTTAAAAATATACTAAAAACTCTTAAAACTCAACAATAAAAAACAAAAACCTGATTAAAAAATGCCCAAAGACCTTAATATATATGTCATCAAAGATCTATAAATGGCACATAAGCATATGATAAGATACTTCTCATCATGTCATCAGGAATGTTAATAATAGGAGAGACTACACATGTGTAGGAGCAGGGGTATATGAAAACTCTCTAAACCTTCCTTTCAATGTTGCTGTGAACCTAAAACTCCTCTAAAAATGAACTCTATTAAAAATAACTGATTAATATAAAATTTTTAAATTAAAAAACCCAGATGAAATTGATGAATTCCTAAAAAGTATAAAATGCCATGAATAACAAAATAAGAAATAAAGAACATAAATATTAAGAAAATGAAATGGTAGTCAGACACTTTTTCCTGCCAAAAACCCAGGTCCTGGTTGTTTTATTGGTTAAGTTCTGTCAAACTTTCAAGTCAAAATCAATTCCTATCATATATAAGTTCATAAAGAATAGCAAAGGAACAAAACTGCCTAATAATCTTGATTATAAAACTAGATGACAAAAGAACATTATAGGCTATTTCATTTATTAACATAGATGCAAAGATCCAAAATAAAGTTTGGCTACTCAAATCCAAAGGTATATTAAAAATTAATGCTTTATAATCAAGTAGGATTTATCCCTTGAGTGCAAGGATTGTTCAATATAAAAGAAATCTATCAATGTAGTTCAAAATCATTTTATTTTTTTCAACTGATGCAGAAAAAGAATTTGATAAAGTCCAGCACCTATGAATGAAGAAAAAATTCTTTGAAAACTAGGAACAGAAGGGATCCTCCTTAATTCTATAAAAGTGTTTTAGAAAAAGCTTACAGAATATTTTTTTAAATTTTATTTTATAACATTATGTTAGTCACCGTGCAATACATCACTAGTTTTTGATGTAGTGATCCATGATTCATTGTTTTAGAATAACACCCAGTGCTCCATGCAGTACGTGCCCTCCTTAATACCCATCACCGGGCTAACCCATCCCCCCACACTCCTCCCCTCAAAAACCCTCAGTTTGTTTCTCAGAGTCCATAGTCTCTCATGGTTCGTCTCTCCCTCCGATTTCCCCTGCTTCATTTTTCCCTTCCTTCTCCTAATGTCCTCCATGCTATTCCTTATGTTCCACAAATAAGTGAAACTATAGGATAATTGACTTTCTCTGCTTATTTCACTTAGCATAATCTCCTCCAGTCCCATCCATGTTGATGTAAAAGTTGGGTATTCATCCTTTCTGATGTCTAAGTAATATTCCATTGTATATATGGACAACATCTTCTTTATCTATTCATCTGTTGAAGGGCATCTCGGCTCTTTCCACAATTTGGCTATTGCGGACATTGCTGCTATGAACATTGGGGTGCATATGGCCCTTCTTTTCACTACATGTGTCTTTGGGGTAAATACCCAGGAGTGCAATTGCTGGGTCATACGGTAGCTCTATTTTTAAATTTTTGAGGAACCTCCACACTGTTTTTCAAAGTGGCTGTACCAATTTGCATTCCCACCAACAGTGAAAGAGGGTTCCCCTTTCTCCACAACCTCTCCAACATTTGTTGTTTCTTGCCTTGTCAGTTTTTGCCATTCTAATTGGTGTTAGGTGGTATTTCAATGTGGTTTTGATTTGAATTTCCCTGGTGATGAACATTTTTTCATGTGTCTGTTAACCACTTGTATGTCTTCTTTGGAGAAGTGTCTGTTCATGGATGAAAGACCTCAATGTGAGACAGAATATTTTTTATTTAATTGATAAATTTTAAATTCATTCCCATTAGGAAGGGAAAGAAGACACGGTTGACCACGACAACTAATATATAACATGTTATTGGAGATAGTAAGAAGACATGAGTAGTATGATGATTGGGAGGGAAAAGGTAACCCTATCATTACTGTTAATGGCAGATGATATGATAATCATATTCTAGAAAAAAACAATAGAATTAATAATCTATTAAATCAAAAAAGGTCAAACAGGATTATCATATATAAACTCAACCTAAAAAACAATAGTATACACTGAAATCTAAAATGTCAAAATCAATAGCATACACTAAAAAAATGCCAGCAATAGCCAATGAGAAAATATAATTAAAATAAAATACTTTATGGTAGCAATGGTATCTATAAAGTTTTTATGAATTACTTAAACAGAGGCTCGTTGGAAAAAAAATGTGAAAACTTTTATAAAGGACACAGATGATCTGAGGATATGGAAAGGCCTTCCACATACTTGGATAGAATGGTTTAATAACATAAAGATGTTAATTATCCCTAAAATTATTTATAAGTTCAGTAGGGTCCAAATAAAAATTTCAACTGGATTGTTTATGTATTTGATAAACACTATAAAATCCAAATAGATAAATAAAGGTCCATGAATAGGTAAGTCAGGTATAAAAAGGCAAGTAAATTGGAGAACCTAGTATACCAGATATTAAGGCATACTACAACACCACAGCAATAAAAAGAATACAATATTGTTTTAAGATCAGACCAGTAAGACAGAATAAAAAGCTTGGAGACATATACCTTAAATTAAAACAGAAAGACAGTTGTTTAATAGACAATTTTGAGAAAACTAGATCCCTATACGGAGAAAAACAAAACTGAATGCTTACTTAGCATCACTTTCAAGGATGGAATCCAAACAAATAAACATAAACATAAATAAAAATAAAAATAAGATTATAAAGTTAGAAGAAATGTGACTTGAGGCAAGAACAATTAAAACAAAACTTCAAAGACATAAAACTACAAAGGATATAGGAGAGTTGAACATATAATCAACTAATTCAACCTAACTAAAATTCTACAGAACACTCAACAGCAGCAGAATACACAATCTTTTCAAGTGAATATGGAACATTTATCAATATAGATCACGTGCTGGACCACAGAACAAGCCAAAATAAATTTAAAAGGATTCAAATCATACAAAGTGTGTTTTCTAGCCACAGTGAAATTAAATTATAGATAAAAAACAAAGATATCTTTGGGTGCCTGGGTGGCTCAGAGGGTTAAGCATCTGCCTTCAGCTCAGGTCATGATCCTAGGGTCCTGGGATCGAGCCCCACATCGGGCTCCCTGCTCCGTGGGGAGTCTGCTTTTCCCTCAGCCTCTGCCTCTTCCTCTCCCTGCTTGTGCTCTCTCTTTCTTTCTCTCCCTCAAATAAATAAATAAAATCTTTAATAAAAAAACAAAGATATCCGGAAAAATCCCCATATATTTAGAAAATTAAAAGCATATAAAATTAAGTCAGGAAACAACAGATGTTGAGAAGGATGCAGAGAAAGGGGAACCTTTTTACACTGTTGGTGGGAATGCAAGCTGGTGCAGCCACTCTGGAAAAAACAGTATGGAGTTTCCTTCAAAAAGTTGAAAATAGAGCTACCCTATCACCTGGCAATTGCACTGCTAGGTATTTAACCCAAAGATACAAATATAATGATCCAAAGGGGCACCTGCACCCCAATGTTTATAGCAGCAATGTCCACAATAGCCAAACTATGGAAAGAGCCCAGATGTCCATTAACAGATGAATGGATAAAGAAGATGTGGTATATATATATACAACGGAATATTACTCAGCCATCAAAAAAATGAAATCTTGCCATTTGCAATGACGTGGATGGAACTAGAGGGTATTATGCTAAGCGAAATAAGTCAATCAGAGAAAGACAAGTATCATATGATCTCACTGATATGAGGAATTTGAGAAACAAGACAGAGGATCATAGGGGAAGGAAGGGAAAAATGAAACAAGACAAAACCAGAGAGGGAGACAACCATCAGAGACTCTTAATCTCAGGAAACAAACTGAGGGTTACTGGACTGGAGGGGAGTGGGAGGGATAGGGTGGCTGGGTGATGGACATTGGGGAGGGTATGTGCTATGGTGAGTGCTGTGAATTGTGCAAGACTGATGAATCACAGACCTATACCTCTGAAACAATACATTATATGTTAATTAAAAAAAAAAGGAAAAGAATCACAAGAGAGGGATTGAGAGTATTGGAAAAGAAAGTGAGGAGAAAATGAAAGAAATTTACTCTGCTACAATGATATCTTTTTTATGGGAATACAGAAACAGTAAATTCTCTAAGTTTCCCAAAAACCTGAATAGCAACAATAAAAGCTTCAGACTTTCAATCATATGAATGAGGAATTATTTTTTTAAATAGATATTTTTTTTAAAGATTTTATTTATTTATTTGAGATAGAGAGAATGAGAGATAGAAAGCATGAGAGGGAAGAGGGTCAGAGGGAGAAGCAGACTCCCCGCCGAACAGGAAGCCCGATGCGGGACCCGATCCCGGGACTCCAGGATCATGACCTGAGCCGAAGGCAGTCGCCCAACCAACTGAGCCACCCAGGCACCCCGAATGAGGAATTATTTAGAAGGAGTCTTTCCTGGTATCCCTGGGACAACTTAAAATTCCATCTACTGACTCATTTGACAATTATTTACTACCTACTGTGTGCGAGGTCCTATTCATAAGGCCAGTAATTTTCCCAATAGCCACTCATCATCTCCATTTCCTGGTCCTACCTGCTGGGGCTTCCACCTTCATTGCTGTTGCAGAGGAACCATTAGTGATTCCCCAAGGGCCTAAACTGGATTCTTCTACTTTCCCTCCTTCTTCAACATACTCCACAATACCAGTGATCCTCTGCTTCATTACTTGTGCCTGAAGCATTCGTGCCTGAAGTTGTTTGAAGGCTTCATGAAATGCCATTTCCATTCGAATATCATTGTTTTGAATTTCATAGTACAAACCTGAAGAAAGATGCTGCAATAAATGTGACTGGTTTTCCACCATTATAAACTGAAGAACTGCAACATTTCACTTCTATTTCCCATATTTTTACCAAAGTTTAAGAACTATATGATGAGTCATTAAAGAATGAAAAGAGAAAGGGAGAATCTTATAATGGAAGAAAACACATTCATATCGCAGGAAAATACCATACCAAGTAAAGTCCAGGCTACAACATTAGTTGGTTCCAAGCAAGTAGCATCCTCAAAGAAAATTTCTGCCTGCTCATAGTTCTCCATCAGGACAGCCAGGACACCACACAGCAACAAGCTGAGAAGAGACCACCAACATGATTAACAACATGGTCCCATGTCACAGTCATGGAACCAAGACAATTTCATATAGAAGCTTATCTGCTCCCACTCATTCTTCAACTCCCTTCCACCCATACCTTTGGATATGATTCTGGTTGAGGGAAAGGGCTTTCTGAAAACACTCCTGTGCTTTGATGTTGTCCTCAGTTAGGAGGCAGAAGGCACCGTAGTCCAGCCAGTGTTCCAGGTTCTGGGGCTCACGGACCAACCTCTATCACATGAAGCATCAGGAGGACCAAGGTTATTGTAACACTAGGTCATAATTTTTATACATATAACACCATAAATACTATAAGTTGTATGAAAGTAGAAACTGTCATTTTTTTTTTTATTTACCACTGAATTCTGAATGTCTAGAACAGTCACTATTCTGGTTCATAGTATATGAATAAATACTTATTGGAATAATTTTAAAATTAAATCTTTAAGTCATTGCTTCTTAGTGTCGATGTTATGGTCACCAGAAGCTCCTCTAATTACATGGAAACCTAGACTCATTGTATAGTTCATTTTAAAGAGTCACATATAATAATTTCTGTCATAGTCTTGAGATAGCAAATATAAGTTTAAGTACAAATATTAAAACAAGCATCTCATAATGAGTGAAAACTACAAAACATTGCTTAAAGAAATTAAAGATGACATAAACAAATGGAAACACATCTCATGTACATGGACTGAAAGACTTATTATTATTAAAATGTCAATACTGCCCAAAGCAATTTACAGATTCAATACAATCTCTATCAAAATCTACAAATGACCAAAATGCATGGGAAAAGATGCTCAACATCACTAATCATCAGGGAATCAAACCACAGTGAAATACCACCTCACACCCATTAGGAGAGCCACCGTCAACAAAATAGAAAATGTTCATAGAAGCATTACTCATAACAGCTAGAAAGTACAAGCAACCCAAGTGCCCACTGACAGATGAATGGATAAGCAAAATGTGGTGCTCTCCCTCTCCCACTCCCGCTGCTTGTGCTTCTGCTCTCGCTGTCTCTCTCTCTGTCAAATAAATAAATAAAATCTTAAAAAAAAAGAATTATTGAGAATATGGAAAAAATGAAACCCTCATTTATTGCTGGTGGGAATGTAAAATAGTATAACCTCTTGGAAAACAGCTGGGCATTTCCTCAAAAAGTTAAGCCTAGAGTTACCGTATGACCCAGCAATTCCACTCCTAGGTATACACCCAAGAGAACTAAAAATATAGGTCCATACAAAACTTAAACACTTTATTTATGAATGTTCATAGCAGCATTATCCACAATAGCCAAAAAGTAGAAATCCATCAAATACCCACACCTGATGAACAAATAAACAAATTGTGCTATATCTATACAATGGAATGTTATTGAGCCATAAAAAGGAATAAAATACTAATACATACTATGACATGAATGACTTTTAAAAACATTATGCTAAATGAAAGAAGGTAGTCACAAAAGAACACATATTGTATGATTCTATTTATACATGTATGTTATACATTTATACTATATGTTAACATAGTGTTATATTCATTTTAGGTACACAATAATTCAACAATTTATACCAGTACTCAGTGCTCATCATGATTAAGTGTACTCTCCAACCGCTTTATCTATTTCACCCATCCCCCCACCCACCTCCCTTCTGGCAACCACCAGTTTGTCCTCTTTATTTAAGACCTTGTTTTTTTGTCTTTTTTTCTTTGTTCTTCTGTTTTGTTTCTTAAGCTCCACGTGTGAATGAAATCATAAAGACTTGTCTTTCTCTGTCTGACTTACTTCACTTAGTCTTATACCCTCTAGGTCCATCCATATTGTTGCAAATGGCAAGAGCTTATTCTTTTTTATGGCTATATATATATATATATATATATACACACACATACACACCACACTTTATTCATTTATCGGTGGACACTTGGGTTGCTTTTATATCTTGGCTATTGTAAATGTTGCAATAAACATAGAAGTGTATATATCTTTTCAAATTAGTGTTTTCATTTTCGCTGGTGATACTGCATTTATATAAACTGTCTACAACAGGCAAATCTATATATAAAGTAAACTAGTGGTTGCCTCAGGCTGGTGGTAAAGAGGAATGAGAAGTGATTGCTAATGGGCACAAGGTTTCTTTTTGGGGTAGTACAAACGCTCTAAAATTAGATTGTAGTATTACTATGAACCTAAAACTGCTCTTTAAAAAGTCTATTAAAAATTAGGGGCACCTGGCTGGCTCACTGGAGGAACATTTGACTCTTGATCTTGGGGTCATGAGTTCAAGCCCCATGTTGGGTATAGAGATTAATAAAAATTTTTGTAAGGGTGCCTGGGTGGCTCAGTCATTTGAGTGTCTGCCTTAGATCAGGTCATGATCCCAGGGTCCTGGGATCAAGCCCCGTGTCAGGCTCCCTGGGAGCCTGCCTTTCCCTCTGCCCCTCTCCCCACTCATGTTCTCTCTTGCTATCTCTCTCTGTCTCTCAAATGAATAAATATTTTTTAAAAATGTTTTTGTAAAAATTAGATTGTGGTGATGGTTGCACAATTCTGTAAGTGAACTAAATACCACTGTTCACTTTATATTCATTTTTTGTTGAAGTATAGTTGACATACAATATTATATTTTTTTAAAGATTTTTTATTTTTTATTTGACAGAGAGAGAGAGTATAAGCAGGGGGAGCGGCAGGCAGAGGGAGAGGGAGAGGGAGAAGCAAGCTCCCCACTCAGCAGGGAGCCCAATGCAGGGCTTGATCCCAGGACGCCGGGATCATGACCTGAGCCAAAGGCAGATGCTTAACCGTCTGAGCCACCCAGGTGCCCACAATATTGTATTTTTTTCAGATGTACAACATAGTAATTTGACAATTATATGCATCACAAAATCACAAAACTACACTCACCACAAGTGTAGTTACCATCTGTCACCAAACAAAATTATATATTCCTTATGCTATACTTCTCATATTTATTTATTTATTTTATAACTGGAAGTTTGTACCTCTTCATCCCCTTCACCTATTTTGACCATTCCTCCACCCCCACACAACTCAACACCAAAAAAACAAATAATACGATTGAAAATGGATAGAGAGGAGCGCCTGGGTGGCTCAGCTGGTTAAGCATCTGCCTTCTGCTCTGGTCATGATCCCAGAGTCCTGGCATCTGCAGAGCAGAGAGCCTATTTCTCCCTCTCCCTCTGCCCTCCCTCCCCCAGCTTGTGTGCTCTCTCTCTCTCAAATAAAATAAAATCTTTAAAAACAATGGGCATAGGCGTCGGCAGCCATATATACAATGGAATATTACTTAGACATCAGAAAGGATGAATATCCAACTTTTACATCAACGTGGATGGGACTGGAGGAGATTATGCTAAGTGAAATAAGTCAAGCAGAGAAAGTCAATTATCATATGGTTTCACTTATTTGTGGAACATAAGGAATAGCATGGAGGACATTAGGAGAAGGAAGGGAAAAATGGGGGGGTGGAATCAGAGGGAGAGATGAACCATGAGAGACTATGGACTCCTGGAAACAAACTGAGGGTTTTAGAGGGTAGGGGGGTGGGGGGATGGATTAGCCCAGTGATGGGTATTAAGGAGGGTACATATTGCATGGAGCACTGGGTGTTATACACAAACAATGAATCATGGAACACTACATCAAAAACAAATGATGTACTATATGGTGACTAACATAATATAATTAAAAAAAAACAATTCTGAAACTATGTTTGGATTTCATCAATTTGAAACTTAAGAAATTAAAGTCTGGGGGCACCTTGGTGGCTCAGTTGTTAAGCATCTGCCTTCAGCTCAGGTCATGATCCCAGGGTCCTGGGATCGAGCCCCGCATCGGGCTCCAGGCTCAGTGGGGAGTCTGCTTCTCCCTCTCTCACTCCCCCTGCTTGTGTCCCCTCTCTTGCTGTGTCTCTCTCTGTCAAATGAATGGATAAAATCATTAAAAAAAAAGAACAAAGAAATTAAAGTCTGACTCTGGAAAAAAATAAAAAAATAAAAAATAAATAAAAACAATGGACAGAGGACCTGAATAGACGTTTTTTGAAAAAAGACATACAGGTGTCCAGCAGACACACGAAAATATACTCAACATCACTAATTATGAGGGAAATGCTAATCAAAACCACCATGAGGTATCACTTCACACCAGTTAGAATAGCTAGTATCGAAAAGACGAGAAATAACAAGTGTTGATGAGGATGTAGAGAAAAAGGAACCCTTGTGCACTGTTGGTGGGAATGTAAATTGGTACAGCCACTGTGGAAAACAGTATAGAGGTTCCTCAGAAAATTAAAAATAGAAATACTGTACAACCCAGTAATTCCACTTCTGGGCATTTACTCAAAGAAAACCAAAACAGTAATTTGAAAAAATATGCACCACTATGTTTATCGAAACATCATTTACAATAGCCAAGATATGGAAGCAACCTAAGTATCCATTGACAGATGAATGGTATAAAGAAAATGTGGTATACATATGCAATGGAATATTATTGAGCCATAAAAAAGAATGACATCTAGGGGGGACTGGGTGGCTCAGTCGTTAAGTGTCTGCCTTCAGCCCAGGTCATGATCCCAGGGTCCTGGGACTGAGCCCCACATCAGGCTCTCTGCTCAGTGGGGAGTCTGCTTCTCCCTCTCCCACTCCCTCTGCTCATGTTCCTGCTCTCACTATCTCTCTCTCTCTGTCAAATAAATAAATAAAATCTTAAAAAAAAGAATGACATCTTGCCATTTACAACAACATAGATGGACCTAGAAGGTAATATGCTAAGTGAAATAAGTCAGACAGTAAAAGATGAATACCACATTATTTCATTTATATGTGGAAACTAAAAAACAAAACAAACAAACAACAACAAAAAAAACCAGACATGGACTCATAAATATAGAAAACTGGTGGTTGCCAAAGGAAGGAGTAAAAGGATGGGCAAAATAGGTGAAGGGGATTAAGACATACAAACTGCCAGTTTTAAAATAAGTCACAGGGATGAGAAGTACAGCATAGGGAATATTGTCAATAATACTGTAATAACTGGTATGGTGACAGATACAAAGTATGCTTGTTGTGGTAAGCATTTCATAACATATATAATTGTCAAATCACTATACCTGAAACTAATACAATATATAGTGTATTAAACTATACTTCAATTAAAAAAAAGAATGTTATATAAATGACATTATACGGTACATAACCTTTTGACAGTGGCTTCTTTCACTCAGTATAATGCCTTTGAGATTCATTCAAGTTGCTGTATTAGTAGTTCATTTCTTTTCTTGCTGAATAGTATTTCATTATATGGATAAACCATAGTTTGTTCATTTATTCATCCTTCAAAGAACATTTGAGTTGTTTCTGGTTTGAGCAATTATGAATAGAGTTGCTATAAGCATTCATGTACATAAGATTATACTTCTTTAAGGTAAATACCCAGGAGTAGGTCATATGGTAAATGGGTAAGAAACTGCCAAACTATTTTTCAGAGTTGCTTTATCATTATGCACTTCCTCCAGCAAAGTGTGAGCGTTCCAGTTCCTTTGTATCCTCACCAGCACCTCATATTGTCACCATTTTTCATTTTAGTAATTCTAATCAATTGTAGTAGCACCTTATTGTGGTTTGAATTTGCCTTCCCTAATGGCTAATGATATTGAATATTTTTTCATGTTCTTATTTATCATATTTATGTCCTCTTTAGTGAAATACCTGTTCAAATCATTTGCCCATTTTTATTTAGTTGTTTTTCTATTGTTGAATCTTGGGAGTTCTTTTTTTTTCTTTTTTTAATTTTATTATGTTATGTTAGTCACCATACAATACATCACTAGTTTTTTATGTGGTGATCCACGATCCATTGTTGTCGTATAACAGCCAGTGCTCCATGCAGTACGTGCCCTCCTTAATACCCATCACTGGGCTAACCCATCCCCCCCCTTCCCCTCCAAAGTGGCTGTACCAACTTGCATTCCCACCAACAGTGTAAGAGGGTTCCCCTTTCTCCACAACCTCTCCAACGTTTGTTGTTTCTTTCCCTGTCCATTTTTGCCATCCTGACTGGTGTAAGGTGGTATCTCAGTGTGGTTTTGATTTGAATTTCCCTGATGGCTAATGATGATGAACATTTTTTCATGTGTCTGTTAGCCATTTGTATGTCTTCTTCAGAGAAGTGTCTTTTCATGTCTTCTGCCCATTTTTTTGACTTGATTATTTGGTTTTTGGGTGTTGAGTTTGAGAAGTTCTTTATAGATCTTGGATCCCAGCCCTTTATCTGTAGTGTCATTTGCAAATATCTTCTCCCATTCTGTGGGTTGCCTCTTTGTTCTGTTGACTGTTTCCTTTGCTGTGCAGAAGCTTTTTATCTTGATGAAGTCCCAAAAGTTCATTTTTGCTTTTGTTTCACTAGCTTTTGGAGATGTATCTTGAAAGAAGTTGCTGTGGCCAATGTCAAAGAGGTTACTGCCTATGTTCTCCTCTAGGATTTTTTCCATTGCATATTTTTTCCTGCTTTGTCGAAAATTATTTGACCATAGAGTTGAGGGTCCATATCTGGGCTCTCCATTCTGTTCCATTGGTCTATATGTCTGTTTTTATGCCAGTACCATGCTGTCTTGGTGATCACTGCTTTGTAATATAGCTTGAAATCGGGCAAGTGATCAAAAACCTCCCAAAAAACAAGAGTCCACGGCCTGATGGATTCCCTGGAGAATTCTACCAAACATTCAAAGAAGAAATAATACCTATTCTACTGAAGCTGTTTCAAAAAACAGAAACAGAAGGAAAGCTTTCAGACTCATTCTATGAGGTCAGCATTACCTTAATCCCCAAACCAGCCAACAACCCCATCAAAAAGGAGAATTTCACACCTATATCCCTGATGAGTATGGATTCCAAAATCCTCAACAAAATCCTAGATAATAGGATCCAACAATACATTAAAAGGATCATCCACCATGACCAAGTGGGATTTATCCCCAGGATGCAAGGGTGGTTGGTTCAACATTCGCAAATCAATCAATGTGAAAGAACACATTAATAAGAGGAGAGAGAAGTACCATATGGTCTTCTCAATTGATACAGAAAAAGCATTTGACAAAATGCAGCATCCTTTCCTGATTAAAACTCTTCAGAGTATAGGGATAGAGGGAACATTCCTCAAGTTCATAAAATCCATCTATGAAAAACCCACAGCGAATATCATCTTCAGTGGGGAAAAGCTGAGAGCCTTTCCCTTAAGATCAGGAACATGACAAGGATGCCAGTATTGTTCAACATAGTACTAGAAGTCCTAGCCACAGCAATCAGACAACAAAAAGAAATAAAAGGTATTCAAATTGGCAAAGAAGAAGTCAAACTCTCTCTTTTCACAGATGACATGATACTTTATGTGGAAAACCCAAAAGACTCCACCCCCAAATTACTAGAACTCATACAGCAATTCAGTAATGTGGCAGGATACAAAATCAATGCACAGAAAACAGTTGCTTTCTTATACACTAAATGTAACTGTAGAAAGAGAAATTAGAGAAACAATTCCATTTACAATAGCACCAAAAACCATAAGATACCTTGGAATAAACCTAATCAAAGACGTAAAGCATCTATACTCTAGGAACTACAGAACACTCATGAAAGAAATTGAAGAAGACACAAAAAGATGGAAAAACATTCCATGCTCATGGATCGGAAGAATTAACATTGTTAAAATGTCTATGCTACCCAGAGCAATCTATACCTTCAAGGCCATCCCCATCAAAATTCCAATGACATTTTTCAAAGTGCTGGAACAAACAATCCTAAAATTCGTATGGAATCAGAAAAGACCCTGAACTGCCAAGGAAATGTTGAAAAAGAAAAACAAACCTGGGGGAATCTTGGGAGTTCTTAATATTCTGGATACAAATCCTTTGTCATATATGTTTTGCAGATATTTTTTCCTAGTCCATACCTTTTCTTTTCTTTCTCTTAATAGTATCTTTTACAGAGCACACATTTTTAATTTTTTTCCAATAAAAATTAGAAGTTTTAATTTCCAAGTCCTTTGAGAAAGCAAAACTAATGCAACACAAATTGAAAGATCTAATTAATAAATTTAACAAGCCAAAGTAATTTTGCACATAAATTAACCCATTTATTATAGGCTATCAATGTTTCATATGGTGGAGCTTCTACTGGTCTTTCAACTCCTTCAGTCATCTGATGGCAGAATTTACTGTGAGGGCAGAAGTGGTGTTGTAGGTCCAGGCACTATCAGCGACGGTTTTCATGCAGGAGCCGCAATGCCAGATCCCCACAGATCATCTTTTCATCTTGGTTTTGCCACGGAAGGAGCAAGGATACTTGGCATGCTGGCTTATTTCAATCTTCTTCACCATTTTCCTGAGGGAGGCACCATAACGGTCCTGTATTTTCACCCATGATTCTGACCTTCTTGGTGCATTTAGCCATGTTTCCCACAAACTAGGTCTGAGCCCAGAGAGCACACATTTTTAATTTTGATGAAGTTCAATTTATCCTATTTTTCTTTTATGATCATGCTTTTGTGTCATGTTCAAGAACTCTTTACCTAAACTCCAGGTCATGAAGACTTTCTCCTTTGTTTTCTTCTAAAATTTTTATAGTTTTATGTTTTACATTCAGATCTATGGTTCATTTTAAGTTGATTTTTTTTTTAAGTAGGCTCCACACCCAGCCTGGAGCCCAGCATGGGGCTTGAATTCACGACACTGAGATCAAGACCTGACCAAGATCAAGAGTTGGATGCTCAACCAACTGAGCCACCGACGTGCCCCTTAAGTTGATTTTTTATACAGTGTTTGAAGTTTAAGTCAAAGTTTTTTGTTTT